TCACCTTAAATTCTTTTTTCTCAGACTGTGTGAATAACTTTAATGCTATTCATATTAACGCCCAAAGCATTCCGGCTCATTATCCTGACATGCTTGCGTCATTTGAATCCCAAAATATTCACGCCATTTTAGTTTCAGAATCTTGGCTAAAACCCTGTCTGCCTTCCACTTCTTATTCTTTGCCTGGGTTTCATCTAATTAGAAATGATCGCACTAATAGGGGTGGTGGGGGCGTGGCGATCTATCTAAGATCCTACCTTCCATTTAAAATTGTTAGTTCGTCAATCAACCACCTCCTGTTGATTCTGCTGAGCATTTGCTGGTTGAGGTCTCCCTGTCTCAGAATAAAATCCTACTTGGAGTTTTCTACAGTCCCTCCCTTTCTATAAATTATTTTACTTCTTTCGAATCTCTTTTAGAATCACTAGTCCCTACGTATAGTCACACTATTTTGATGGGTGACTTTAACACCTGTTTGCTTAAAGGCGACAATCGATCTATAAAACTTGAAGCTATAATTGAAGCGTGTAATATGAAAATCTTACCCCTTTCTGCTACTCATAACTTTCCTAACAGTACTCCTTCCCTTCTTGACTTAATAATGGTGTCATCTTCCAATTTAGTTTTCAAGCACGGACAGTGCCCTGCTGATGCATTCTCTTATCACGATTTAATTTTTCTTTCGTATAAACTACGCCCTCCTAAAATCAAACCTAAATTAGTTCTGCGACGTAATTTTGGAGGAATGGATATTGAACAACTTTGTGAAGATGCTTATAATATTGACTGGTCAGTGATCGAGAGAGCTCCATGCATTGACGATAAAGTGGAACTGTTCTGTTCTCTTCTCACTCAGCTTTATGACGTTCACGCGCCAATGCATTATGTGAGACTTAAACACCTACCTGCTCCATGGCTCTCTGATGATCTGAAAAAGCTTATTTTGCAGAAGAATGCGGCATTGTCAAAGCTTAAGAGGAATAAAACAGAGGAAAACGTTAGGAAATACGCCAGAATCAGGAATCGATGCAACACATTATGTAGAGATGCGCAACGACTCCATATTCATACATCAGTCGAGAACGGCGACTCATCTAGGGTGTGGAAATTTCTCAAAACAGTTGGAGTTGGTAGAACATCCCTAAATGCTTCACCTCCTAGTGTTGATTTTGAACTATTAAATCAACATTTTTCTAATCCTTCTAACTCTTTTGATAGCGAACATAAACTGCAAACACTTCGTTCGCTTTCTGTAACTCCGACTCCTAATTATCATCCGTTCGTTTTTAGTCAGTTTACTGAATGTGATGTTAAGAAGACCATATTATCCATCTCCTCAAATGCTGCCGGTAGCGACAACATTAGCCGTAATATGATTGTTCCTCTCCTTGATGTTATTACTCCCATTATCACTTATTTACTCAATGCTTGTGTCTCTTCCTCTAAATTCCCTCAAGCCTGGAAGAGTGCTCATATTATACCCCTTCCAAAGAGATCTAATCCCGTCAACCTCTCTGATTTCCGTCCCATCTCGATCTTACCTTTCCTTTCTAAAGTCCTTGAAAAACTTATTTGCCAACAGCTGACCCTTTTCCTTAATAAGCACAATTTATTGAATTCCTTACAATCCGGTTTCCATCCTGGTCATAGTACGGCTACTGCCCTAATCAAAGTTACTGATGACATACGGTGGGGTATGGATAATAAACAACTCACAGTCATGACCTTGCTGGATTTCAGTAATGCGTTCAATACTGTTGACTTCGATATACTGTTGAGTCTGTTGTGTTCCCTTAACATATCTCCATCAGTAATTGACTGGTTTCAAAGTTATCTCTGTGGCCGTCGGCAGTGTATTCGTGTCGATGAAACTCACTCATCTTGGTGTGATATTACTGCAGGCGTGCCGCAGGGCGGCGTGTTGTCACCTTTACTGTTTTCCATTTTCATTAATTCAATCACTCATAAAATATCTTCTCTCTACCACATGTATGCGGATGATGTCCAGATTTACACCCAGTCAACTCTTGAGAATTTGCCGAATGCAATCGCTACATTAAATAGGGATCTAAATTTTATTCACGAGTGGAGTAAATCATATGGCCTAAATGTTAATCCTAAAAAGTCTCAGGCTATCATTATTGGTAGCCAGAGCTTTATCTCAAGAATTGACTGGTTCTCTGTACCACCTATCGTATTCGATGGAGTTGTTATCCCTGACTTTGACAATGTCAAAAATCTTGGTATTTATATGGATAATTCCTTAAATTGGATACGCCAACTGAATGAGGTAAGTAAGAAAACTTTTGTCGCTCTTTGTTCACTGCGTCGCCTTCGATCATTTCTTCCCATTCCTACAAAAATTATGCTCGCACAGTCTCTTCTCCTTCCGATTCTCGACTATGCTGACGCAAGCTATGTAGACATAACTGAGGACCAGCTAAATAAGCTTGAGAGACTTCAAAATACTAGTATTCGGTTCATATTTGGATTGCGCAAATTTGACCATATTTCCCAATTTCGCTCACGTCTCAAGTGGTTACCTATCCGACTTCGCCGGAACATGCATATACTTTCTATTCTGTACTGTGTATTATTTCACCCTTCTACTCCTCCCTATATAAAGGAGAAGTTTAATTTTGTGGGGCTTCCGGGGAAACCTTTACGCTCTTCTAGAAAATTCATTTTAAGTGTGCCAACTCACAATACATCATTTTTCAATAAATCTTTTACTGTCCAGTCTATTAAGCTCTGGAATGCCCTACCTCTACATATACGCGAGGCACAAACTATTATTATCTTTAAGCGGTTACTTAAAGAGCATTACTTGTCTCAGTCGTTCGGACACAGTTAGGATAGATTGTGTGATTATGTATTTATTGTATCTATCGGCCTTATATTGTTGTTTGAGGAATTTTGTATATATATATATATATATATATATATATATATATATATGTATATTGATATATATGTGTTGTGTGTATATTTATGTATATATGTTTATATATATACATGTGTATATGTATGTACCTATACGTATATATATGTATGTATATGTGTATGTGTGTGTATATGTATATATTATATGTTTTCCTTTATCTTTTATTATGTGTTAGTAATTTATATTATTTCATGTATTACTTAGTTATTTATATCTTTTTTTTTGCATTTATTATTTGTATATTTATATTGCACCACCTACCACCTACCTATTCATTGTTTGTATTACTTTACACCTTTGGTTGCCTGGAAGAGATCGCTATGTAGCGATAAGGCCGCCAAATTGTACATATTATAATCTGATTTTTGTTATGTCATTTGTAAATTTGTTCGTGGTGTACAATAAAAGTATATTCATTCATTCATTCATTCATATATTCTATAAGTATATTGCGAATTAATTGTAAGCGTATATTTGCGGGAGGTTTCAATCAACTGAGGTGTTTTAAAATCATTGATTTTACATCAAAATCAATTCACTATAGCTATATAGCCGTGTACTTACCTAATCGTGTAACATGTAATGTATCTGATACTGTATGAAATGAGTACGTAGGCAGGAGCCTGCTGCGAGCCGCTCGCGCGTGGAGCGCAGTAAGCTCGCAGTGACCCGCCGAGTGGCGATATCATACAATCATACAAAGGCGGCTCGTAGTGTACACGTAGCTTAATACGCGGTGACTGTGATGAGCAGTACCCACTTGCAGGTTGATACAGTATCAGATACGTTACATGCTACCCGGCTAGGTGAGTTTTGTAGGCGTTCTGAATATTATTTGTCTTCATATACAGTAGTATATGAAGTAGTATGTAGTGGTAGTTGGAGTACTACAACTGTCACAATTTATTGTATTGTGAAACCATACCTTTCCATGGTGTTCGCTAGTTTCATCTATTAAAGGATTAGAAAGTTCATAATATAAAGTGAATCAAACTGCACAGATGGCGTATAGCATAGAAACATGTTCTATGGAAAATAAATTTAATAATACTCTTTTTCAATCACCAATAGAACGTACCTTGACAATCTTCTAAGATATATTTTTAATTTTAACCATATCTAATATTATCATATATTTACGTGGTAGAGCCATGCTGCAGCTATATTAGTAGTAGGTATAGTAGTAGCACGAATGGGTCGGCTCTACCGGGGAAGGACCACGCTCTCCCAGAATACCAGCGTAAAATAGCAACTTAACGTTGCTGTGTTTCGTTCGTAGTGTAGAGAACCGGAGACCTTTTTCACTGAAAACGAGGCATTACATCTTAGTCCTTACGGGTGACAACGCATCTGCATTTTGATTCGTAATCGAGAATAGATATAGATGTCTATGGGCCGCAGCAACCACTTACCATCAGGTGGACTGTGTGCTCGTTTGTCACCCATTCCTATAAATAAATCTTAATCACTGCTATCGTAGGGAGTCCTGAGTGAGGGTCATCTTTAGTAGTTCTTCTTCCACGTTTAGGTTCGACGTGCAACTGTACAATATGGCGGAGAATGACTCTTAAATTTCGCTCTAAATTGATAGATATGTTGATAGCCAATTCGAGATGCCGGCTTTGAAATACTTAGCATTTTTTTTATTCATACATTCATCAGACCTTGCACCTAGAGATCTTCTATTTCCAGTATTCAAGGAGTATATGGGAAGAGAAATAATTGAAGATGATGAGGCAGTAATTTCAGTACAAGATTTTCTAGGTGTTCAGGATGAAGAGTTCATTGCAAAATAATTGTTGTGTAAGCTTAAAAAACACACTCCAAGTGACACTAAAAGGTGACTATCACTTTTTATTGAATGCCCCTAGAATATACATATTCTTCATCATACCTTTTTATTATTACTTTTTTAACGTTGTCTTATATGGTTTTTTTGCTTAGCCTAATCTTGTCTATAAAATACTAAAGAATACTTTGACATATTTTTGGTGTAATATCTGAATTGGATAATTTCTAATCTTCTTAATTCCTGATATCTAAATTTATACTCCAGAAAAATCCACGTTTACTTCGAGTCTATTATTACTATGGAATAACAACCACTTCAGCTATGGCTTCAGTGGTGTTATTCCTGATGGTGAGACATTATGAAGCACTCTATGACTGGAATGCTGCCTTGTTCGAAGGATGTTTTATGTTCTGTGGATTTGGTAAGTAACTTTTTAATTATTAAAAGCCTTTTTAATATGAAATTGGCTACTGCAGCTGAACAGATGCGTTGTCTCATCTGAGGGATAATATTATATGCCTTACTGCCTGAAATTATATAAGCTCTCTCTATACACTCTTCAGTTGCCAGTGATGACATACGGAACTGAGACGTGGTCCTTCACTGCTGGCCGGATGAGGAAGCTCAAGGTCACTCAGCGAGCTATGGAGAGGGCTATGCTCGGAGTTTCACTGCGTGATAAACTTAGGAATGAGGATATCCGCAGTAGAACCAGAGTAACCGACATAGCCAAACGGATTAGTAAGCTGAAGTGGCAATGGGCCGGCCATATAGCTCGAAGAACCGAAAACCGATGGGGAAGAAAGGTTCTCGAGTGGCAGCCTCGTACCGGTAGGCGAAGTGTAGGGCGTCCCCCCACGAGATGGAGTGACGACCTGGTAATACATGCAGGAAGTCGATGGATGCAGGTGGCTCAGGACCGTGCTTTGTGGCATTCTTTGGGGGAGGCCTATGTTCAGCAGTGGACTTGTGAAGGGCTGTAATGATGATGATGATACACTCTTCTGACGGAACTCAACAGTGCGCGCACTGCTATTTTAGACAGAAATAAATTCGAAATTAATTAATAGAATCAATGCATTGCTTTCCGGAAATCTATTATATTAAGGTTAGTAAAAATTACCTCACGTACATCCGCTCGATAAAATAAAATGATGTGTCTTATCTAGTTTGAAGAGCACCTCCTGCCCTCCCTCAATTTCGTGCACTATCCCCGTCACCATTAATCCCAGCACCACTACACTAGGAAAGACACACCACTGACGATAATACGACACGTGTTTCGCCTCTACACGAGGCATCTTCAGGTGATGTAGACTCTGTGACAGCTAAGTGAACTTATAGCGGTCAGCCAACGCAGAGGGATTGGACCTACCCTGCTCTTCAGACTGTGTAAGACACATCATTTTATTTTATCGAGCGGATGTATGCAAGGTAATTTTTACTAACCTTCGTTCAAAATTAATTTACTATTGCAATATATATCAGTTCTGTTCAAAATCATTAAAGAATACGCCAGCTAGCAAGTTGGTGAGGGTGTACGCAAACCTGCGGTGCGATTTTGCAACCCTAATGGGAACCATTTTGTCGTTTAACGTTTCGTTTCGTTGTATTATGTAAATAAATAAATAATGCGTTTATTTCGGCAATCTTGTTCACAACATATTGCTCAAACTTCCCAGTGAGTAATCAGAGGATACTCGTGTTGGGAATGACCCGATACTTCTCTATTAAGGATAAAAGTAAGATTACAAAAAGCCGATCATAAACTTCAAAAAAAAAATTTGTAATTTGTACGACTATATTAAATAGTGTGTGAATGTGAGTGTGGCGGTATTGTATATATGTGTGTATATGTGTTGGTTGATAAAGATAGTAAAAGTAAGAATACTAGTTGTAAATGTATCAGTATCGATTATATAAGGAGCATATAACAGCCGGTGTGTTGTTTTTGAGTTAATGCCGTATTTTTAGGTTATAAAATATTGTTATGATGAATAAACATAATGTAGTTGCAAAGGGATTCCCATAGGCGAACGATTGTCATGTTGCATTGGTAATGTTTGTCTCTCTAGGAGTGTGTTCAGTTATTTTTTTTTGTATATGGTAGCGCCGTGGCTACGCGTTTAGCATCGGCGCTGTATCGTTGGTGTTAAAACCGACTTCAAACTGATACAGTTATTTCAAGCGAAACTCTTATATTATGTTCGAATAAGTAAACAAAAATATAAATACGTACATTTTACTACACCATAGGTTGTCTGTCAGAGAATGTCAACTCTCATTCATTCCAACTTGTATTATACTATATTATGCACTTGCGATCCATCCTGGATTCGCATTACGATTCGACGTGATTTCTGGATCTCGACACGCAAATCATTTCATCAAAATCGGTTTATTTTTAAAAACAAAGTTTGTAAACATTTTAGTAAAGCATTGCAAGTGTGAATTAACGCTTTTTCCTAAAGAATAATTCTATCGTCACATATTTTACTTATTTATCATGGCTCAGATATGTGTATATATATGTATATAATATAATGTGTATATTTAATGTATTTAAAAAGATTTATGTATGTGTACGTCTGTGTTAATATATTTACATTTTATGATATATGTATAGAAAAATACAATCGGTCGAGCCGTTTTCGAGTTTTAGCGAACAGAGACTATCGGACAGAGATAACATGAACATAATAAAGTTTCAAATAAAGAGTTAGATTAAAATTAATAATTACGAAGTGGTAGTACGTGATTGGTCTGGGTAGGTCCAATCCTCTGTTATCTACCTATTCATGCTACCGAATAGCAGTGCTTGAACTGATATTTAGTGGCAGTGAAACCACTGTTTTGAAAAAATATATTTTATTTATACATAGTTATTGAATCGAACCCATTATTCAGTCAACGTAGGAGCATAACAGATTTAATCTTGCTTTTGTTAACAACCGACAATCTCTATGCCAGTTATTAGCCAATTTGTCAATTAAAGAAACTGTTGTTGTAAGTTGCTTTTACGGTTTGCAGTTTAGTTTTAATTTTTATGGCCATTCTTTTTTATTAAACGCCATGTTTTATAAAAAGCTTTAAAAATTGTTATTTCCTCAATTCATTACATTTCTTCCTCATAATTATCGGCTCATGAATATATTAGATATTTTATATATTTTCGATAACTAATTGCAACAGGCTGTATATAACACATCACTAAAGCCGAACGACCGCAAAATATTTGCGGTGGGCGCACATGTATGAAAAAGTGGCTCAGCTATGCGAGCTAAGATAAACTAAGTTAGTTTAGTTTGCGGTGGACGTTCGCTTAATACTCACCCCTAACATCGTGGGGATTGGCTTTGTGTTAACACTGTTCTTGTACTACTATCGCCTATTGCTTCTACCAGCTATACATTATATATATATATATATATATATATGTATATAAATATATATTAACACTTATGCTTAACTGAAAGAACACAGCTGTCTTCAAGTTCAAAGTGAATAGAGAGCCAGTATAATAAAAGGCTGTACGTCATTCCTTTTTAGTCCTTAGACGTGACACCGCATCTGCAGCCCTCTTCGTTTCAAGTTAGTTGTAGTTGCCTATAGACTGCAGTATCCACTTATCATCAGGTGGCCTCTAAGTTAGTTTGTCACTAAAATTTCTTATAAAATAATGTTTGCACCACCCTATTTAAGGAGAAACATATTTAATTTTTCTGGTTTGTATGGTTTGTACATGGTAGAGCCTCGTTGCAGCTATATTAATTGTATAGTTGTAGCACGAATAGGTCGGCTCGACCGGGGTAGGGTCACGCTCTCACCATACAAGCGTAAAATAGCAACTTAATGCTGCTGTGTTTCCTATGGTGACAGCGAGGGGGTTACAACGTATCTGTATTTTGATTCTTAATCGAGGTTAACTGTAGATGTCTATGGGCCACTGCACGTACTTACCATCAGGTGGACTGTGTACTCGTTTGTCACTCATATAATATAAAGAAATATCAACCTTACCGCGACGACTGCACCCTGTGATATTTGCTAGAAGAAGCCGAGCCACTATTGTGACTTTTGGACTCATGATGGCGTTATTAATGATGCGAGAGTATTCCCCCTGTACTTTCTACGCTAGGTAACTCTTTCCAGAATTGCATACCTAATGTCTTAGTTTTGGAAAGGCCTAAGTTCAGCGTGGATTTTAAAAATATTGACAATACGGTTCGAGTGCATAAAACTGACGCATTTTTGGAATAATAACTTAGAAAATAAAATCAACAACTTTTTGAGGTTTTCCCTGGATGTATGCTAGCGGCGGCTTCAAAAAGTTATTGACTTGTTCATGTAAACTAAATATAAATAAGTTTATTTCTCTTTCAGCGCTGCAGATTTATCTTCTGATGTTAATAAGAACGGAGTTGAAAAAGTTAAAACAGAAAAGTCAGTTGAGTTTCATCAACCATGTTGCAGAAGTTGTTGTGGTCGCTCCTCAAGGAGGAGTAGGAAGGAATCCTTTTTAAGTTTATTATTAATGTTTTTCAATAAAATTAAAAAACCTAGAACACAAAATGTCAATTTATCTATTTCCATTTCCATGTAGATTTTCATATTTGGTTTTCGGATCAAACAGTAAGTCGAAACTGTTCCCGGAGACTCAGAGACTGCATTTGCCAGAAACCACTGAATCCATCTTGTTGCGTGGTTGACAACATGCGACGATAAATGGAAGGTGTAAAATGGAAGGTGGTGAAAAAAAGTAAAATAAGAATAGTTAATAAAATTGAGGCTTATTAAACATTCAAATTAGATTTTATTATTTCAAGTTGTTACCAGGAACATGCTGCGGCCTATCTTCTGTTTTATTTCCCTCTGTCGCCTCTTACGACACCCACGCGATGTTATACACTAGAAAATACACGCCACTGTCGATAATAGGACACGTACTTCGCCTCTAATCGAGACATTATCAGACTAGAAAATAAATAGGCTCTACAATGTCTAATTGCTAAGTGAGATGGTGAGTCAACTCTGCTGCGTTTTTGTAGAATAAAGGTGACAAACGAGCACACAATTGACCATCCTCACACTCACCATACGAATCGCAGCAGTATTATAGTGCTATTATACGCTGGTTATCTGTGCGAGCGTGGTCCTTCACTGGTCGAACCATTCGTGTCAATTTATATCGTATAATATTACTTAATACCACACGTTTTATTTAAAAACTTTTTTAGAAAGTTATTTTATATTATTTCAAAGTTAAATCAAAGTCATTTCACTTATTATTTGTAGCAACGAATCTTAGATTTGTCAAGAAAAAATTCACAAGAATCAAATAAAGAAATGAGGTACCATTTACTCTTACTTATACAAAATAAGTGGTCCTTCCATAAAATTCGAACACCTTGAGCGTATACGATGATAACATTTTTTGTCTCATTAAAGGGATAAACGAGCTCGTAGTCTTTAGTTGTTTGCAGTTTAACGTAGTAATTAGTACTAAAGTAAACTGCAAACAATATTTCTGGATTCTGGTTAAAATGTTGTTACTTGCAACTTGTAATTTTTTAAATTAAACATTTAATAAAAAAGTAAAAGTAATTAGTCATGATGCCGTTCCCATCGCTTGGGACAATGTGATTTTTTTAATTCTTCAAAGTTGAATTTTGCTTTTTTTTTTGTAGAATAAGGGTGAAAAACGAGTACACAGTCCACCAAATGGTAAGTGGATGTTGTGGACCTTGTTTTTGTGGTTATATTTGTCTCTTTGGTCTTATTAAGTCCACTGCTACGTACATACACAGGTCATTACTCACGTACTGACATCAGCGGCTTCATTGAAAATCTGGTTAACTTGGGTAAGGCATTTTTGAATGTAGCATTTATTGCTCTCGACATTTTAGAACTAAGTATGAGTAGGTAAATACTAACACAGTATGTTGTTATATATCCTAGAATTTGTACGCTAACCCCACATCCGCCCTGACGTACACTATTCCTCACCGCTAAGAATAATAGTGTCTTATGATTCATCATGTATTTATTCGTTCTACTGTTGATTGTCTCAATTGTGATGTACATACTAACATATAGCTTAACTAACGTGATAGTTCAAGGGCACTCGTTTTAAGTTTGATAGTACACGAGCAAACTGAGCATTATTTCTCGTTTACGTGGTAGAGCTATGCTGCAACTATATTTTTGGTATTGTTGTAGCACGAATGAGTCGGCTCGACAGGGGAAGGACCACGCTCTAACAGAATATCAGCGTAAAATAGCGGCTTAATGCTGCTGTGCTTCGTATGGTAAGTGTAGAGAACCGGAGACCCGTTTTACTGGAAACGAGGCATTACATCTTAGTCCTCACGGGTGACAACGCATTTGCATTTTGATTCGTAATCGAGGATAGATGTAGATGTCTATGAGCCACAGCCACCACTTACCATCAAGTGGACTGTGTGCTCGTTTGTCACCCTTATCCTATAAAAAAATGTCTTCCAGACCGAAATTCGGTCACGGCGGCCGGTCACAAAGAAGACTACTCATCTCCGCAGGACGGAATCACAGTGCACGAGTGTATGTGCAAGCACAGGTGTACTCTACATTTCCTTACTTTCGTAGTCAGATAAGACTGCCAACCGACACGACCAAAGAGATTACGCACAGATCCAAAAGCTTTAGGGTGTAACACTGCAAACTTCCTGACTCTGGGCTGCTCCTTAAAATTTATTGACAGAAAAACTGAACCGCTTTTTGTTGATGCAGCCCGGGATTCGAACCTGATTTGTAATGCTGATTCATAACATACGCGTTGGTGAAGGAAATGACTGTAAAGAAACTTAAATATCGAAGGAATTATCTCGAAGATATGTGAAGTCCACAAACACGCATTAGGGCAACACGGCGGATTCTTACCAGTTCCGGAACTTAATATAATTTTGTTAACAAAGTTTTGATCATATAAACCTTTTAAATGTGAACTAAATAACTGCTTATGATTATAAAAAAAAAAGATTTTTCTTAAATTAATTGCGGTTGCCAACCTATCTGCCAGGCGTGGCCACTATGGCAAAATCAACCTAAGAGGCAATCTAAGGGAAGTCTTAAGTTCATCAGTGGAATTTTATAGACTCTATTGTTTTGATGCATAAAAGTTAACTATTAAATCCTTTGGTGACTTTGCGACTAAATGTTCATTTTATAGTAAAATTTCCCATTCCATTTCCATTGTGCGTCTGCAATCCTGGTTCGATTCCCGGCTGCAAAAATTGTTGATAGTTATTGTAAGTGCTGATTTACCAATATTTAGTGTTAAGTGAAAACATCATGAGGTCTAAGTAATATTATGTGCTAAATGAAAGGAGACGTGTTGCTTCTTTTAGATCTTTAATTGACGGCTCCGTGGTGCAGCGTCTTAGCAATGAGATATAACGCTGGGGGCCAATGGTTCGAAGCCCGCACGAAACAAGTATTATTTGTATGGGCTACCTACAATTATTTCGGGTCTGGATGTTTGTCTTTGTGAAATTTATGTATGTAAACTGCCAAAAACAACAGTTCCCTCGAGACCATGAGTGCAGTAATGTGCTCGAAACGTCGGGAATATAAAATAAGTTAACACACGCGATACCCGATTCAATCCGTAAAAACTACCTTTATTTAATTATAAACTAGTTTTATTTTATTAAATAAATCATTGATTTTTTTATAATTTATGAAAATTAATTTATTAATATTAAAGGGTCGTGTAGTGGCGGTTAAGAATATCCACTACCCCATATCTTCCGTGGATGTCGTAAGAATCGAGGGACACCCTTGTGCTCTAATCCATAGTCCCGAAACCTTTCAGCTCGAGTTACAAAACCGTTTTCCAGTGCCTAGAAGACTGCAATGCCGTAAAAGATATGAATGATATGCTCGTGGAAATTTCCATGCGGTTGAAGCTAAGTTCTGCAAGAGCCGCCGCAGAAAAACACAAAAACTCTCCGATCACACTCTTAGTCTCATGGCTGTTAGACGGGAAATGAAGCTGCAGTCTTCAACAGATTTGTCAGCATATAGTCAACTGAAAAGACAGATCTCCAAATGCATACGGCGGAACATACGCAACTTCAATACAGCTCGTATTGAAGAAGTGATGGAGCGAAACCAAGGCTTCAAATTCTTTGTCAGAGATCTGTGTGCCAGAAAAGTCTACTGTCGAACCTGAAGACAGCCACATGCAAATGTGAGTAACGTCCAAGAGCAAGCCTTATCCGACACTATTCAGAACAAATTGTAGAGAAGTCCGAGGAATACAATTTGCCACTATGTTTGGCGTATGTAGACTATGAGAAAACCTTTAATTCCGTCCAAATTTGGGCGGTACTGCAGTCCCTTTAGTAGTGCCAATTTGACTGCCGGTATATGGAAGTGCTGAAGTGTTTGTACAGTATGGCAACGATAGCTATCAGAGTGCAGAACCAGAGTACGATGCCTATCCAACTGCAGAGATGTGTAAGATAGGGTGACGTTATATCCCCGAAACTCCTCACCGCTGCATTGGAAGATGTTTTCAAGCTACTAGACTGGACTTTCAATTTGCCGACGATGTAGTTCTTATGGCAGTGCACCAGGTGTATACAATTATTATGATTGTTTTTATAAGAAATTATAGAATTAATTCTTTGTGTGCTACATTGTGGATAATTTAAATTGTTATTATGATTGCTAGAGATAACCTTTACTGTCTCAATATCTAATTTCAATGACTTGGAACTGATTCCAAATTCAAAGTTATGTAATTATACTGCTCAATAGAAGCAGATGTCTGGGATAAAAGCAGATGTCTGGGTAGTAGATTAGTGGAAGTAGATTGTGTGCTCGTTTATCATACTTAAAACTACACTACATACTCCATAGATATCTACTACATCTATCCTCAATTAAGAATCAAAATGCAATTGTGTTGCCACCCCAGGACTAAGACGGAAAGCATCGTTTCGAGCAAAAAGGGTCTCCGGTTCTCTATACGCACTGTAATTCTATACATTGTCCTTCCCCGGTGAGCCAACCCATTCGTGCTACAACCAAAATATCTCTGATGCATGCTCACCTACCCTACGCATGAATTTATTATATTAAATTTGTGTTATGTATTAGATTCTTATATTATTCAATAACTTAAAATAATTCTTTTAATGGTTAATTCTGAAATAGTAAAACCTAGGGAAAACGAAAACAACACGTTTAAAAATAGATTTTTATTATTATTCATCAACTTAATATAATTTATTGACTAGATAAATTATAGAATATTGAACTGAGATAGATAAGTTTTATTAATGCTTACTTCTCTTCGACTATATCTTTATTTAATATCTGTACGTCATCTGAGCCTTGGATGATGCACGTGGGGTCGGCGGTGTGGTTCGTAAACATGAACTGAGAATTCGCTTTCAGCTTTAGTACCTCACTTCGCACTAATATCAGAAGGTATGTGTGAATAACTGAAACAAATGAGCATTGTTTTATAAAACTG